TGGAATAAAAATCAGTTTTGAAGGGACACTATGTTATATGACATATTTAAACCATGCCAACAACATAATGTTACAAAGCTACAGAGAGGACTGGCCACCACCAATACTGATTATTTGGAATCCAGAGAAACCGATGGCAGATAAGCCGATATTTTTGGGCAAATATTCTTTAGGCAGCAGGTTGGCAAAACAAAATATCGGCCTCTGCTGGAGATGAAAGGCTGATAGTCAATACACTAAAAAGGTCAAATATCGGCCTGATGTATCCACCAACTGATGTATGTCTGTCCCAAGTTTTAACCATGATTATTTTATTCAAAGTAGTTATCCTTCATGGAATTTCAATTTTGTTTTGATTCTAACTGATCACCAAGGCACAAAGTTATCAAAATTTCAACGGGCTAACTATGGTTCTATCTTGGATGACCACCAGAGGGCGCTGCTGAAAGGACTCATTGATTCTATGAGGATGTTACTGAAATAATTTACAGTTGGTCTGGTTTCCACGTCTAGTCACTCGCTAACACTTTCTAATAACTACACCTTCAATTAGTCTAAAGCGTGAATAAAGACTTAGATCAACATGTATCGTGATTTAATACATTTAGTTTGAAGTGACATCTTGCCCTGAAACATGTTTTTTTTCTTTTTTTTTTTAAAACTTCATCCGCACCTCTCAAAGTGACTCAGCCTGTACTCCACTCCTCCTGCGCTTGTGAGTAGCTGTTGCTCTCGGGTCATTACTATTTGAATAGTAGTACTAGCTGTGGATTTAAAAGCACAGTTTTTAGGCCGTGGTGTCCAGTACGGTGCACAGCTCTTCTCCCTCCACTGGGGCCTGCAGTGTGCTTAAGGACCATGTTCAAGTCATTGTAATTACTCTTAACTGGAGTACAAAGGTCACCCAAGCTTGTTCACACGTCATTATGAAGCTTGTACTCTATTTTATTATTAGCAACCCTAATCCTCCTATAGTATGTGTCGTGTAGGCGTTTGAACAGCGATTGACAGCTTTGAATTGGTCATGTATGTTTTATTGTTTAAAGAGGGGGTGTTATGCAAAATCCACTTTTTTATTAGCTTTCAAAATTTTCCACAGTATGACATTAAACATATACTAATATATCTTGCATTTATTCAAGTAGAGGTGCTATTATTGCTAAGAAATACCCTCATAAACAGTCTTGTATTCATAGATCTTCCCTGTAACTTGACCTGTTGATGCCACCAGCTTGGAGACCTACAAGTTTGCCATACTGTCTCCATCTTTAACATCTTTTGCTTTAACATTTATCCCAAGCAAAACGAATGATTGTTTCTGACATCTGGTAGACAAACATTGAAAACTAATCTTGCAGTCTGTTTGTGATATTATTTATGCAACTGTTAAATTATGCATTCTCACCAAGTCTAAAATATCAACCAAAAATCATCTGTCATCCAAATGAATGTCTCTGTATAATCTAGAATCATTAACAAACACAAGTATTTTTCTTTTAAGGCAGAAAACAGTGAAATCGCGGTGTTTAATATTGTGGAGTGTGATACAGAGGCATTAGTCAGTCTGAGGCGTTTAATAGATTTCATTGCACTGGCTGTGATCTCCAGCTCCTCTCCGCAGTTTCACCACAATGTCTCACTTATTCAAATCACTGGTGGGGGATTGTTTGAAGTGCAGTAGTGGGTGGTACTTCTTCTATATACACTCGTCTAATAGGGTTGAACTGAAAATGTACTCGGCATTCAGTGAAAGGGAGCGTCTGCTGTAGGCCAAATGAAAAAATATCTGTAAGAAGACATTGCGCTTTTATCTGCTATAGTTGTAATCTGTGACACCCGTGGATCATTATGTTACAATTTGGACATTTAAAATCGTGGTATTCATCTAAAATGACTTAATAAAAAAAAAAACAAGTCTGCTGATTTCCCAGTTGTAAAATTGCAGAGCCCAATGTGAGCCGATCCCCACCTGCACCTTTACAGATTCTCGATCACAACAAAGTGCTCCTATGGATAGCAGCAGATCACGCTAGAGACCAGTGATTTTAGTTTTTTTTTTCCATCTCTACCAAATTGACAACATAATACATGCATCCCAAATTTTGGACTTTCGGTCATTGTGCAACATATATTGGGGAGGGTCCTCTGCAATGCATACCGGGAATACATGTTTCTTGGCGAACTGCTGGTGCCTTTCGCTTTGGCATTGACTTTTTAAATTCATGACCAAGGTGGAGCGAGGGATCAGGATTTTGATTTGTTGGCGCTGCAAACTCGGGATGATTTCTTAGGTGGCTGCCTAAGGTTTCCTTTTTCGTCCTTCCCGTGTATCAATACTGCCCATCAGCTTCGCCTTTTCACTATTTTTCAATTCTGTTGCGAAGGGAAGGGTTTGAACGGAGGTTTGCAGTCACACAGATCTGATTCACTTTCGCAGTTATGGAGCTCACAAACTTCCAAAGCCCATTTCTCGAGTCGTTTTCCGCTGTTAGGACATCCACACAATCCCATAACTAAAATATGACAATATCAGAACCAGAAACAAAGTGATATGGTTCAAAACACTTGAAAAGATTGACTTTGACAATAGACGCATCCCACTAGCAACTCAAACATGGCGGTTTGATGCTCACTTTTTCGGAGGCCCTTCCCAGTATGCATTGTGCAATGATTGGAAGTTCAAAATTCAGGATGTATGTATGCTGCTGAATGCTGCGTTTATCACCAACAAAGAAACTAAAATTATAGAACAAAATAAATAGAGCAGTGAGTGTGTACCAGTGACAAAAAGCAGGGTAGATTCAAGCAAAGTCTTGAGCATAGAAGAATAAAGCTTACTCAAACATGCATGAATCACTCTAAACACAACATCAAGAGGGTAAAAGAGGAAGGGAAACTATCATAGCACGATTCAAAGCTCTCAAAAGTTTCCTTAAAATATATATCTAGGCAGAATCATGTGTGCAACTCATAGCAATACTACATATACTACATTGAAACAACATATATATTTATCTATTTATTTATTTATTTATTTGATTGGGGCAGAGCATGTTAATGAACAAACATGACAACATGAATGTAAACACACTGGATTGTAGCCTAAGGCTAATTTCCATCCGTTGTATCAGAACAGTACATGCTCATGTGTATCATAGACGTTACTGCTTTTGGTGTAAATACTTGGATTCAAGACATTTACAAACATGTTTTAGAGAAATTCTGGAAAATACAGGAGAAAATGGGAGATTACATTTTGTATTTCGTCCACCCCTACTGAGATTTATCATTTTGGTTCTCTCTAGGACTGATTCAGTTCATGATTCAGTACTTCTCTTTTATGCAGTTCTGTACTCAAATACAGACACTCTTCCCCAACCACTCTTTCTATTAGTCAACCTCCTTAAGGTTTTGAGTGAGTGACAGGTGGAAATAACCATAATGAAATATTTGAATCACTTTTAATGTCTAACCTGCTTTTTAAATCATGCCTGTATTTTGTCTGATTACCTTGTTTTAGTATGTACTCTTTAATTGTATTAACTGAGTGTTTAGAAAACCAGTATAGAAATAAAGTTTATTACTGTGTGAATGAACACTCAGAACAAGCAGATGTCTTTATTTACCATTTGTAAGTCTACCTGGTAAAATTAAAAGTGTGATCTGGCTCTATTATCCTTGTTTCCCTAACCTATATTCTTAAAGGGACAGTCCAGAATTTTGGACATAGGACCTCATTTTCTAATGAGCCAGAGTGTTGGAGACGTGTGAAGACACACTTTTTCAAATATTCCATCTAGTCCTTGTATTTGCAGAGGTCTTACCCACTCCACAAAGCACCCGAAGCAAATCTATTATTACTCCAGACTGTCGATGTTGATGTCTGTATTGATGGAATAATGTTTGAAATAAAACTAACCTTGCATCGCATGAATCATCGCATGTTGAGGGACTATTTTCTCAGCAGCAGCGGAATTTTACCTTGCCAGTAAGATAGTTGCTTGGTGATATCAGTCCACCGCTGCCAAGCTTTCTATCAGGAAGTACAACTCGCTGCTGCTGCAACATTTATTTTACTTCTAAAATTTTTCTATTGACACAGACATTCACATCAACAGTCTGGCATTATAATTGTTTTGCTTCAGGTGCTTTGTGGAGTGGGTAAGACTGTATTTAGTGGCAGGATAACTTTGGCCATTGACATGCACTAGCCTAGCATCAGAGACCTCTGCAAATACAAGAACTGGATCGAATATTTTAAAAAGTGTCTCCACACGTCTCCAACACTCAGGAAATGAGGTCCTATGTCCAAAATTCCGGACTGTCCCTTTTAAAATTACTCCTTACCATTTTCAGTACCACACACCACACTAATACAAACCTTCTGTAGCTTTCACGATAAGATCTGTCACTTGTACTGCAGAGATCCCTGCTTTATACCCACACATTTGTTTCACTGTTTCTCATATGCATCCGTGTTTGTACAGCGCTCCTCTGACAATGCTCAATCAATACTCCACTACTCCAGCTCCTTTAAAAGTCCTATACCTGATTTTTTTCCCCATGTATTTGAAACATGTCTTCTACCAGTACAGATATATTATATAAGCAGCTGGTGAGGCCAAAATATGTCAGCTCTGTGCTGTTTTCATCTAATTATAAAGTGTTTCATTGTTTGAGAGTCAGAAAGTGTATTTAAGCATGGTAGTTTATTGTAAGCATTACTGTCATGGTCTTTGAGAGTTGTGAAAAGCTCTTATAAACTCATCATGGTGAATAATTAGGATGGTCTGAATGTATAAGGTAAGTGAGGACTACATTTGGACCACTGCAAACTGTTAAAAATGTGAAAAACAAACTAATTAAATTTAAAGAGTGTAAAAATTTGGTACCACGCCCTTAATCCCAATCATAACCTTTTGGTGAATCTCGATAAACTGTTCTTATTATTCACTTTTCCCATGCCCTTGCCTCTCATAGCTTTCACTGTGTCTTTGCAGAATACGTAGATGGCAGTTTGTCATCGTGGGTGAACAAGGAGCGTTTCCAAGGGTACCTCCAAATCGATGGCTTCACGCTGTATGAGCTGGGAGAAACAGGTGAGCCGAGCGGGCATTCTTCACTGTCCAATCTGCCTGAGAGTATACCGAGGGTACAGCAGTGGTGTTGAGTGTCCTTCTAGGTCATGGGGCTGGTGGCTGGTTTCAAACTCAAATTAAAGGGACTGTATGTAGCCAAGTAGTCAAGTTTTTCTCATTCTCAGTGTTTGGACAGGGCATGGCTCATGTTAAAGCTCAGAACCTTTAGAATTCACTCAGTGAGTCAGTAGAGGCTGCACCATTCACTTCAGAGAGTCCTTTTAGGTTTAAACCAACTGGATTTCAGCATTGAAACTGGCAACACAAATAGGAGACTCATGTGAGGCTCATTCTGCTTTCTGATTGGATAATAATCTGAAGAATAAAACACCAAATTACAACATAAATCCAATGTGTTTATAATTAAGAATAAACCAATTACATTAAAGTTCTCAGCAAAAGTTATATTTGATTTGGACATGTCTACATTATACCAGGGGACACGATTAGCAGTATGAGCCTGTCCAAGCTAGGGATGGGCATAATTAGTCGTGCTTAGCGTTAGGAGACGAGGCTGCGTCTGACAGCGCAAACACTGGAGTTGTGGCCTCACAGTCCCACGTTTTGGCTCTGGCACCTCCTTGGAGATCACTTGCACATCAGTATCTCAGTGTCCCACTCAGAGTAAGGTTGAGTGCGGATGCGTCCAAAAGACAAACACTTTTCGGTCTTTTCATCACAACAGCAGCCAAAATAATAAAGTGAACAACATAAATAAAGTGATTGAAATGAGTGTTAAATAAAAAGCTGCACTAAACCTACACATGTATGATCTCTGCAAACATGAACCATCTCCAAGCGCAACATACACACAGAACAGACTCACCATCAGCCTCATCAACATAACTCTGTCACAGAGAGAACACTCATATTCCACTGAGTTGTGTCCTTTAGTCTGACAGAAGCTGAACCGCATCAGCGCACAAGGAAAGAGCTGTTCTTTTGGGTTTTTTGTTTTTTTTTCCAGTTTTTGTGGATTTAAGTTTTGTTTCTATAAAACATAAACAAATGTGTCAAAACTGCATTAAACACATGATAATGTCAAACGGACTGATATGGCTCTATAGTGGTTCTGGTTTATATGTTGTAAAGTTTAGTTTATTTATGCAGATTAGTAATGGTAATAATAATGATGATAACTTTAATATAAAAAACATTAATGATTAATCGAAAATAGATTATTAATTCTCCCGACGATCTATTAAGAAAATTTAATCAAATGCCCATCCCTAGTGCAAGCCTGAGCCCAGAAGCCTATAACACCCATGCTTTTATTTTCCATAAAACAGGATACAAAACAACAAAACACTACAACTTCACAAACCTGATGAGATTTGCAGTCGTGTAAATGCGTAAATGAAAAGTAGTAAATGCTTTTTTCCATGGAACTGTTATTGCTTTGTCTCAAATGCTTCACAGTATGATATTAAATCTTTCTATTGCCATGAAGATCAAACCAGACCAAGTTACAAATCACATCTGTGGAGAGGCGACCCCGCTCACAGTCAGAATGCCTGTTTTTCTACGTATTTTTGAGCTATAAAACCACCTATAATTGAATAAATGGAAGGTAGAGCTGTTTAATGTCATACTGTGGAACATTCCAGGCAGAGCAGTGGCATATCCATAGAAGCAAGATGGTGACGATCCTCCAACCAAAAAGTTAAAGAATGCAACTGTTAAAAGTGCTGAAAATGTTAATATGTTGTTTTTGGTGAATATAGCATTTTCAAAACAATAAAAGGTAACACGGTGATCTAAATATGTTATGTGTTAGCAGTTAATACCCCATAGAAGTGTAATACCCCCTCTTTTTTAACTGTCCATTCAATTCCAATATAGACGTCAGTTTACTTTTCAAATAAACCTATAAAACTTTGCATACTTAGTTTTACCTCAGCCCTCCCTTCTAAACATTTAACATTTACCGCCCCCTTGCCAACTATTCAATCTACCCCATGTCGAGCGTAATTAAAAAACACACACTTAAGCCATGCGGAGAGCTGCTATTTAAATTAGTTATATATTTAATACTGGAAAATTACACCATTATGTTCTGAACCTCCAACTGAGCTTTCTGTACTTGTACCTATTGTCCTCCACCACAGGATATTTAAACTTGCCACTGAAATGTGAACTGTCGCCTTAATGGCAGTAAATTGATGCCTTGCACGGAGAAAAATGCACCTTCTAATATTAGATCGGCCATTTTGTCCTTTTTAAAGTGCACATCAAAGTGGCAGTCGTACTTTACTCTAAAAATTAGACTCTTAAGACCATTTACCTGATTTTTTTTTTCACGTATTTGGGCAAAAATTGTCTTGCCCCAGTACAGATTGTGTTGTATTGTATAAGCAGCTCTTGAGGTCAAAATAAATCATCTATGTGCCATCTCCATCTGATTATGAAGCGTTTTATTGGACGATAATCAGGCTTTATTCTGCTTTGGTCTCTGAAAGTCGTGAAAAGTGCTTCATTGTAGTGAATAATTAGGAATGCTTGGAATACATGATAAGTGAGGAATAACTTCGGACAAAGGCTGCAAGATAAACTACAATCGAACCGAAATCACCATTTTCATTTGAATGGACGTAATTAGCAAATTGCAAATGCTGCAGTGTTTGAAGTGCAACAAAATGTCCTGTCCTGTTCTGCATAAAACTGCTAACCCTGTAGTTTTGATCTGCACGAACATGTTCTGAAATGTGATTCTTTGATTAGTATTTTGTCCTATTTCATATTTTAAATTCTCCTCGACTTTAAAAATGGGAACTTTGAACAGAATCTTATTATTAAAACATAAGTCACAAATCTAACCGCAATGCTTGTCCGGAAAATTGTAATAATCAGGAAGTCAGCTGTTGGCATACTAGTTGTATTCATTGCGGTGAATAATTAGGATGCTCACAAGGTAAGTGAGGAATTGCTTTGGACCACTGCAGCTGTTTAAAATGAAATTGTGCTCTTGTTGACATTTTTAAGATAAATCAGATACAGTGTCTTTAAGATGGACTGAATGTATTGACTATCTATAGTGTTTGAGTTATGATTATGGAGTTACAGTATGTGATTTTCCATTCTTTTTCTAAACGCATCTGAATCACGTTCCACGCCCGGGCTCAGATCGTGTGTGGGTTGGAGGTATTGTGCCTACAGCTTAGCTCAGAGCATTATGTATGTGAAAATCTGTGACTTAAAATCAATGGCAGGTTCAGTGCAATAAATACTGAGATGTATAGAACAAATTGTAGAGTTGTAGAATTTTTATAGCTACATTTGACTGTATTTAGTGTAAACGTGTGAACTGGGACTTTTTTGGTAGAGAAACTAGAGCCCTAGCAATGTGACCAGCTTTAAATCAAACTTTCTGAATGATAAATGACAAAAATGGCCAGTAACTACCAAACTTGTACAAACTGTGTACAAATTTAGACTTTATAATGTACGTTGAGTTGGAATCACCTGTGTTTGTTAGTCGTTCATTTGGGTGTGATTGGCTCAGTCTACACAATGGAGTTCAACCCCGAACACAGATTCAGATCCTTTCAAGTCTGTGAACTTGCAAATGTTGTGGGAATTCATCTTTGCAGTGCAAGGTTTACGTAGACTGGATGTCTGCCTCAGAACATGTGGCTTTAGAAGTAGACTGAGTGTGGAGAGCAGAGGAGTAATGAACTGTAGTACTAATGATTGTCTGTTTGAATGATAGTTATTGTAAAGAGAGTAAAAGTGCCATAAGCTCTTTTTACACTCCATGTACATATATAAGACATGTACTTAAGCGGTAGTAGAACACACACTCAGGGCAGTGTTGTGCTGGTGCTGAATTAACCTCGGGGTCAGTAGCTCTACAACCTAAACACACACTGGGACCCGCTTTGCCACAGGGAGTGCTGGGCATCTTCTAATGAGCTTTAGACAGTCACGCTTAAGATAGTACACTCCAGCCATTCATTACAAAGGAACCTTATTAGAGCTACAGGAAGTACTAAACAACCACAATACTATGGTGTCTGTGAAAATGACTAAATGACCATAGTAAATGAATTTCCAGTTATTCCATAGATAATGACCAAAACCCAGAACAAAACCCTATGCATTTAAAGCAGCAATTTCAGAATCCTTATCTGGCTGTATTAAAGGAACCATATGTAACCTATACTCTTTTGTTTTAGAAATGTATTACAAACTGAAACCGGATTCATATAGACAACACATACAAGGTTTAAGTAGTGAACGTTCAGATCAGAGAGGCATTTTAGGTTTAAACTACAAGATGCCAAATTATAACAAAAACAACTTGGCCAATGTTTTGTTATTGAGAATAAATCAGCACTACAATTGTTATCAGTAAAAACTACTGCATATTGGATTTGAACATGTTTACCTCATATCTAGGGCGGTCAAATAATCTCATAATAGTTCCTTTAAACTCTGCTTTCTTTAGAATGTGAGGCCATTGTGTGAATAAAAATGTATTCGATCTACTTTACTCCTTTAATTAAAATCGAATCTATCTATCTATTATAGTTCCCTGAGCTGAGGCTTTCCACTCCCACCATTTTATCCTGTACTCTTTCTCCCTGTTGCTATATTTACCGTCAGGGACATTCAAGGCTTTCATTTCACACATATAACCTTCATGGATTAACTGTCTCTTCTGTGCTCATAGTAATTAAACCCATTTCTATATAAGAGTGTATATCTTGAGTTATTCCAAGGCCAGGCTGTTTCCTGCTCTAACCCCATCAGTGACCACTAATGACCACTGGGGGGCAGGCTGGCACTCCGCTCTAGACCAAAAAGGAGCTGTTGACATACAATAAATCTGACAGTTCTTATAGCTCTTGTTGAAAAGATTGAAATGTAACAATGGTGGTAGTTCGATAATTTGTCTTATTTGTGATAGGGTTGTCAAGAGTATGGAAAATCGGATACTAATCAATGCTTCATTGTGCATCTAGCTGAGATACTAGTTTTAGTAATGATGGTTAATGGAAAAAAAATCATGTAACTTGATCAAATTTAAGCTTTCCTGAACAGTTGCATCTTGAGTTTTAACAGAACTCAACAAATCCTATTATTTTGAGATGAAAATTGCAGTATTGTCTAAAAAAGGAGCTTTTAAAAGGATAATTTGTGTATCAAAAGTTCATTTGTAACATTAAAGAAGTAGATGTGAATTTACAATTACAGATTTCATTATAATTTCACCATTTAGTCAGTTTCTTATTTTAAAGTATTGAAGCTGATTAACTTTTTGATAGATTTGATTTTATTTCATTAGATTTTTTAATTAAATCTTTAAATACATTTACTATCACTAAAATTGCTCTTTATTCCCACTGAAATTTTAACACGCCGCCTGGCATCTTCTACAGTATGGCATTAATCTATTCCCATGGAGATCAGTGGGTGGCGCCATTATGCAAAATTACACGTCAGATCTGTGGAGATGGGACCCTAGAATAAAAACACCAATAAATAAATAGTTTGCGAGATTGATGAATTTAATACAGCACATTCCAGGAACATCTTCTATTGCCAAGAAGACAAGCAAGTGGCAGACATCCCTCCAGAAAAGTTACATAGTGCAACTTTAATAGTTTTTACTACACTACACTACATTACCATTGTCAGGATACTAAAATTTCAAACTATTTCGATACTAAGGAATAGACTCCGATTCCAATACCACGATGATGATAAAAAAAGTCTTTATTTAGACACTAGAATGTGATTTTCAACATTAAATGGTAAGGATGTAATAATAACGGAAATATCCTGATATCGTATCATCAAAGTTCTCACAGTAATATCATGGACCATCACAATATATCGAATTACAAGTCTCTCTGCTTAAATTAATAGTTATGGTGCTGCAATAGCTAAAAAAGACAGAGGGAACTACATAGACCATGATCCTTTGCTCCATTTCAGTGTAGGCTAAAAGAAGAAATAACAGTTCTAAGCACTTTTAAGTCTTAGTTCTTTGGAATAAGTCTTGTCAAGGCATTTTAAGAGGAAAAATTTGAATATTAACAGTTTTGGCTGTTTAGCCTCCACAAAATATCGCCGTTTTTACTGTGATGTACAGTGGTCCCTCATTTATCGTGGGTTATTTTTAGAACGTAATCCCAGCGAAATCCGCGAAATAGTCAACTTTATATTTTACAATTATTATATATGTTTTAAGGCTGTAAAAGCCCTCACCCCACACTTTAGACACTTTTCTCAGACAGGACAGGTGCAACCCTTTTTGCATCCTTCTTAAAACTTATTTCTGCTGTTGTCCTTTTATTTTCCTCCTTTATGTAATGAACTGACGATGCATTTGTTCTGTAATGGAGCCTACAGCGCAGAATCCTGCGCGGGTCCATTTTTTAGAGACCTGCACCCGCACAGTACAACACTGCACCTGAGAACCTGAGATTATGTCAAACTTTTGCGCTGCCTACGCCACAGACTGAACCAAGACTAAACCAGGACTAAACCAGGTCTGAACTAGGACTAAAACAGGAATAAGCCAAGACTAAAGCAAGACTAAACCAGAACTGAAACAGGACTCACTGTTGGGATGGGCTCAGAGGTGACCGCAGGAAAAAGGACTGACTGAGAGCTCCGCACCTCGCGAAGGTAAACGCGGCAATTGCCCGATCGCGTTTTGCGGACACTCTGCTCGGGATTCTCTCTCTTAAATCCAAGATTAGTCCTGGTTTAGACCTGGTTTAGTCCTGACCCACCCATGTGTAATTACTACCAGCAATATGTATTTGCAATACGTGTTCATACGCGGTAAAAAAAAAAAAAAAAAGCGGGACCGCGAAAGGCGATATAGCTGTATATCATAAAAATATCGTACCGAGAGATTTGGATATTGTTACATCCCTAATCGTGAGCCTCCCCATTATATCGTGAGCTTTCCCACGATATCGCAATAAATATTGTACAGAGAGGTTCATACCGTGACGATATCGTATCATGAGATTGGCTATCGTTACACCCCTATTAAATCGTAGTGCTTTCTTTTATATTTTAGCTGGGTAATCGTGGACCATGGGCGTATACAAGTCTATGTGCTCTTATTCTTGTTCTGATACAGCTCAAGATCATCCTAAAGCTATTCAGGAAAGGTTCATTTCTATCCTATGAATGTAGCTTTTTTAATATCGATACTGGCTCAAATGATACTAATTTTAGTGTTGATTTCTGCCTGATTTTACAGCTTGTTGTTTGGCCTCAATAACTCGTTTTATTGTTCTATCTATTCCCAAATGTCTTTCACCCACCATTTCACTCGTGTCCTTTTGTAATTCGCCACCCGTCTGTTTCCCTTCAGGCAAACTGGTGGCCATCGCGGTTATCGATGAGAAGGACCCCACGGAGGAGAGCGGCAGGTACGGACAAACCCCAAATTAAAACTCACAGACCCAGCGCCCTGTAATCCTCACACCGCAGCAACAGGCCCATTCAGCCGCTCTCAAATAAAGATACGACGTGTGCCAGTTATTGTTCCACGGTAGCCACAAATTGCAGGCGCTGGGCTAAAAATAAGGTCAGGCGGCCATTTTATGTGGTGTTTCAATCGCTTCTTATTTGCTTACAGATTAAAGGGCCTGATCCAGACGGTGGCCAAAGAGTACAGGGAACATTTTAACAGGTAAGAAACTTGCCGATGTGAATGTCAGATTTTGTTTACGTTAAAGGTCCTATATTACGCATAATTGACTCTTGTGAGCGTTAAGACATGTTATGATGTTGTTATCACATCAAAAACATACCAGAGTGGTGTTTGGTTTCATTCACACATGTTTGAATTATTCTGTATTATTATTCTGTCTCCTCTGCTCTGTTCACCTTGTGATGTCATGAAGCAGTAGTTTTCATTTTAACAGCTACAATTCCAGAGCTGAAATAATCAAATTGATTCTTGGAGTTTAAAAACGCAGTATTTCCTATATTACCACATGCCATCGCAAGGTGAACAGAGATTGGGGTGTGCAAAAATATTGAAATATCGATATATTGTATTGTTTAATTTGATGATACAGTATTGATATCGTGGGCTGCTGCATTGATATATCGCCATATATATGTATATATATTTTTTTTGGTACATTTTACTAAATTATTTTTGTTACAGTTCTACAGTTTTGTTGTTTGTTCAGAGCAGATATGTCAAACTCAGGCCCAGGGGCCATATTTGGTCCACGATATAATTATATTTGGCCCGCGAGATCATATCAAATATGTATTAGTGCTGCTCACCGGCTCCAGATAGAACATAGAGACATTATTTATTTAAAATGTTGTTATTATTTAACATTACATATCTCGAAAGAAAAAAAACATGTAGATGTTGTTGAAAATTTTCAATAAATATTTAGTTTGGCCCACGACTTAATCCTAGTTTTTAATTTTGGCCTCTGTGAATTTGAGTTTGACACCCATGGTTCAGAGGAAGGAAACTTGTTTATGTGACACATTTGACATATTCACAGAGGATTAAAATGTGTGTGTTTCATATGAACGTTGCACAAGAAGTAGTTTAACAAAACCAACACTGTTTTTTTAGTATCACAGCCATGATTTAGCCTTTATTTTATATTGAACTATATCGAATCAATTTAAAAATATGTCGTATTGAGTTGTATCAAATCGTAAGCTCACTGCATCAAGATATGTATCATATCGTGGCTTATGTATCGAGGTATGTATCGTTTCTGCAACTTCAGAATGATACCCAGCCCTAACAGAGATAGAACAGTTTTCAGTTTGAGAGAAGAACCCAATGAAACAAAAATGCAACTCCAGGTATGTTTTTTATGAGAAAACAACATTCTAACAGATCAAAAAAGAACGTAATATGGGCCCTTTAACAGAGCTCCTGCACCCACATGATTGAATTAACTAAGGATGGCAAATTAGCAGGGGAGAATTAGCTTCAGCTTTTGTTTTGTTTCATCATTAAATTAAATCGTAGACATTGATTTACCTTGAAACTAATCCGATCAAACTTTAATGGCTCTTCCCGGGCAGGGCTGTTATTTTAAAGAGGCGGTATCATGCGTGATCGACTTTCTATAATTACGTTGTTTCCTCATCATGACATATCTGAAGTGGTTTTAGATACCATCCATGCATGTTTTAGTAATCTAGAGATCTTTCCTGTGCCCTATATGAGCCCTCCTTACAATCAGCTGTAGGAGTAAGTGTACATCACCTATGCTACACATTTTTCATGAATACAGTCGTCCCTCGGTATGTCGCGGTTCACTTTTCGTGGTCTTGCTGTTTTGTGGATTTTTTTAGTACAATTTTGCATCCTTTTTTTATGCACATTTTGTCCCCTCCCCCTGCTTCCTGATTATGGGCGGGTATGCGGGCAGGCAGTGATTACACACGGGCGGGTCAGGACTAAACCAGGACTAAACCAGGACTAAACCAGGACTAAACCAGGACTAATCTTAGACTTAAGAGTCACTTCCAAGCCCGTCCCGACAGTGAGTTCTGGTTTAGTCCTGTTTTGTCCTAGTTTAATTCTCCTCTTCAGTCCTGGAATCAGGTTAGACCTGGGTTAGTCCTGGTTTAGTCTTGGTTCAGTCCGTCGCGTATGCAGCACAAAAGTTTGATATAATCTCAGGTTAATGGGCGGGTATGGTGCTGTACTGCACCGGTGCGGGTCTGCAAAAACTGACCCGTGCAGGACTCTGCGTTGTAGGGCTCCATTACGGAATAAATTAATCATCGGTTCGTTACATAAAGAAGGAGGAAAGTAACAAAAGGACGACAGCAGCACTAAGTTTTAAGAAGGATGCAAAAAGGTTTGTAATTGTCCTGTCTGAGAAAAGTGCATAAAGTGTGTGGTGAGGAGTTTTACAGACTTAAAACGGATAGAATAAATGTAAAATATAAAGTTGACTACACTTCGCAGATTTCATCTATCGTGGGCTATTTTTAGAACGTAACCTGAGGGACCACTGTATACAAAATCAGGATACAAAAAATACACTACAACTTCACAAACCTGACGCGATGTGCAGTAGTTTCAGTTTCAGTTTCAGTAGTTCAGCAGCAGAGAGCAAATGGATGGGAGACTCAGAACATCCAAAGCAAAAAAGAAACTTGATCATGTACGTACGTTGTTTTCCGGTGATCTAAATATGTTATGTGTTGACAATTAATACCCCATGGAAGTGTAATATGCACGTTTTTAAGAGGGTATATCTGATTTCTATGTGAATTCTCAGCCACTATCCTTGCCAGTATGGAGTTTGATAGCGCATGCTGGGATGGCGTGACGACAGCAGGAGCTCTGTTGGAAAATGATGCGCTCACTAGAGAGAAACCGTATTCACCACTCAGCCTTTTGTCAGGGCACGTCTTGTTTTAATGTTTTTTTTTTTTTTCCACGAAGGTTCAGTGCAAAGGTAATTATGCAAAATGTCAGCTTCCAAATATAGGTGTTCTTTTGTGCTGTCAGTCAAAGCTCCAGCAGCGGTGGAGCCTTGGATTAATGCAGAATGTTCCGTTTTTTTGCCCGCGCTGGGTGAGCCATGACAAGCAGGCATGAGACGTTTATGTGCACATCTGACAAAGAGGGGACAAGTTATCCGAAAATTCAAGGTCTCAATTTTGGCCGCTTTCATTTTGTTTTTTTCATTTTGACCCTATTCATGGCTGGGACGATTTTAATTTCATATTTCTAAAGGACTTTGGTGAGGCGTAAATACTCTCATGTTCTCACTATCTCATGGTTTAGTAGAGTTTAGTTGCTCTTTCTCTTGTATCTGTTTAAGACACAGTATGCAACTTTATAGCTAAAGTTTGACTAAAATAAGCTTTTTTTCCCCCCATTTTGCTTGAGGTTGAGACACTGAGGAATCTAGAAAAACATGTGTCTTTACAGTGACTGGGCCTGCATCTCCACAAACCTGACGCACTTCCTGCTTGTTCCCATGGAAATGCTTTTCCTTTAGTTAGAGCCTATTAGTATGCTACACACACTTAGTGATTATCGGACAATAAAACACTTTATAATTAGAAGCAGAAGGTGGTAAAGGACTTATTTTGACCTCAAGAGCTGCTTATACAATAGATCTTTACTGGGGTAAGATTAGGGTTGTCCCGATCTGATCACGTGACTGTGGACTCGATCCGGACTCGGCCGTTATGTGCCGATCAGGTATCGGATAAATAATATCTGACGCGCTTCCTGCTTGTTCCCATGGAAATGCTGTTCCTTTAGTTATAATCCTCTAGCCAGGCTGGCGCCACCTAGTTCCTTCGCTCAATTTCATTTCTCTCCAACAACTAGGTCAGGAATCAAAATACACTAGACGTTTCGCAAAAACCCCGGAAGTGCAAGTTTGGGCACCAGCCAATCAGCAAAGAGCCATATATTCAGCGTTGTCAAGTATTCCCGAGATCAAGAATTTTAAGCCAGAATAAAGAGAATGTTTGGTGAATTTTATGTAATATAAGGGGAAAGAGGGAAAGTTATTGTCCTTTTTCCTACGGGATTTGGGAAAAGCTGATTGGGTAAATAATAAAAAGTACTCGCCTACCTTTGAGTCTTGCCCAAGCTGGAATCACACCGCCAGCCTGTGGGTCAGTGGATTTGACCGCTCAAACGATGATGTTTATGTCGGAATTTGAACCGCCAACCTTCAGATCGGTGAACAAACGCTCTACCAACTGAGCCACTGTAGCATTAAACTTGTCTATCTCCGTGGAGACCAACAGGCGACGCCAGCAGGCCAAGTGACAGGCCAGCTCTGTGGAATGGTGATCCTGTCATGATATTGTCACTGAGTTTATATCCGAAGTGTATCTGTCCTTTTCAGAATCACAAAAAGCACACGACGTTTTATTGCCTTTGTCAGTTAACAAAATTCACAAACTAGGAACCTGCTGTATCTGTGTTGCTTTTAAATAGTTTGTGTTTGTTCAGATTTTGAGCTAAACCTTTAACTCTACAAACATGTCGTCTACTCAGATGAACTTTCTTCGTGTTAGCATGATCTTTCTTTCAGCACATCATTACAGCCAAAACTAAACTTAAACCTCTTTTGTTCCGCTTAAGTTTCTGAAATACACGCTATGAAGAGGTGTGCGCCGGCGCCGTGATCAAAGCCCCCCTCTCTCTCCAGGCATCCCCATTAGCGCTAAAGGGAATTACACAGATCCCTATCTTCAATTAGACAGCCATCCGACACGCTAGCTAGTTGTAGTTTTTTGAAGCTGGAGATCCCACTGAGATCAGAGCCCTCGCGACGCACCTAAACTCCACGTGTAATTACAAGGCAGGCGCCCCTATCGCCCCCGGCTGGTGGGAGGGGGGGGCAGCACTCGAACGCTGATTGACGTCTGAATAAGCGCGCGACGGTTCAAAGAGGTAATAAATGTCATGATATTTAGCTGGGCTGGTTTGCGCGGAGTGTGTTGGCGGAGCTGTGAATGCAAAAAAGCACCGGGTGAGATTAGCCAGCGAGGAGAGGATTTAAATACATATGAGAGGCTGGAAGTGACGGCTGGTGGGTGACGGCGGATTCGGGCCACTTGAGGCAGTTTGCAGGCAGAGCTCAGAGAGCGGAGAGTGGAAAATAGTTTTGCTTGATCCTGGCCTAGCTCTAAATAGGACTGTCGTGATATGGGGCA